TTCTACAAATTATCTTAAATGTCTTGCAAACATTACCTCTCCTTTTCTTCTTGTTTTCCATTGGATCAATTTTATATGCATATCCCACATGAAAAGGGCAACAACACAGTTCAGTCATATTGGCGCTGAAACAGGCTGAAATTCTTCTACAGTCCCTTTTGACATGTGCCTCTTGGTGGGGTTAATCAAACATCTATCTTGTGGATTCCTAACCAAATACCCAAACTTTAGGAAGATTTTTTATTTTTATTTTATTTTTTTAAAGTCTGGGTTGCACTCTTTTGCCCAGTACAGTGGTGTGATCATGGTTCACTGCAGCCTTGACCTCCTGGGCTCAAGCAATTCTCCCACCTCAGCCTCCCAAGTATCTGGGACTACAGGTTCACGCCACTGTGCCCAAGCTAATTTTTGTATCTTTTGTAGAGACAGGGTCTCATCATGTTGCCCAGGCTGACCTCAAACTCCTGGACTCAAACAATTCGCCTGACTTGGCCTCTCAAAGTGCTGGGATTTCAGGCGTGAGCCACTGCACCCAGCTTTAGGAAGAATTTGATCAACAGAGTTGACATGAAATTTTTGATATGTTTCAATTTGAGATTTACAAAAACAACATGCCAGCAATTCTAAATGTGCCTCAAAGCTGGCTCATTTGTCATTCTTTCCTACCACATCAAGAGGCATTCCTGCCCAAAAGAAATCACAGCAGCCCTCTGCAAACACTCATGGCCTCTGCCTTAACTACCAGTTGTACCAGCTGTCTTTAGCAAGGAGAGGGAGATAGAACTGACTTAGGATAAGCATGTCAATTAATTCTTTCCTAAAAGGCAGGTTGGCCATCTCTTTTCCTGGGATAGTAGAAATAGTTTCAGTTTTTGCCTCACTCTTCCTTGGGGAAGAACAAAGAATTAGACTTTAAATCCAGATCAACAAAGAAGGTTCTCTATTGCTGCAGGTACCTAGGCCAACATGCCTGCCAAGTGCTGTGCTGCATCTCCCTGGCCCAACTTACTCACTCAGGTTACTTTCTTTCTTACACCGCCACAAATTCTCTCTGCCTCCATTCCTCCCTGGGATGAGACAGCTAGATCAAGGGGGGAAATCATGTGATAGGGACCAAAAATACAAGGCCATACCATCTGACTACATTATCACCACCAGGATCATAAATCTTACCAAAAAGGAAGCTTGCTCTCCGCTTTCCTATTTACTGTCCTTGAGAGAGTAAGTGATGCTGAGTCACAAAAACTTGTAGTACTTTGCTTTCCATTTCCCTGCTGCTATTCTGTTTATAACTTTATGTAGAAATAGCTGACTTCACAGCTTCTGCCATTCAGTAACCCTTCAATATGAGGGCTTAATATGAAATCCTTAAAATGAGCCTAGTGGACATAAAATAATCAAAAATCTAAATTACCTAGACTGGTAGAGGTTAATGTTCTGCATTAAATAGGAACAGAAAGTATCCATTTTTTACGCTGATTATGCCTGCCAAAGGACTGAGTCAAATAAACACACAAAATATGATAGATGAGGGCAACAGGTGTACGAATACTACCATAGTTACTGAGAAAGGTCTAGGAAATAGGCAAATGTAGGTGTGGCCCTCACCTCCTTTCACCTCTATGTACTGCTATCTGGACCTTCAACTCTCCTTTTCCAGTGTAGAACTGAATGAGAAATAACCTTTTAATATCTCATTTTTTATACAATTTTTATAACCATATAACCGCCAAGGGCTATGCTACTGAGCAGGTGTACGGCAGCAACCCAAGCATCTGGGATTACTAGAAAAACAATAAGAAAACAGTTAAGTACCAATTCAAGATTTTCATTAACCTTGCCTTTCCTATAATGTTGTTTTATCAAATTAGCTCTCTCTGAAAAACCGAAAATCCATCACATACATGGAGAGCTTAGAACTCATCTACCCATTCATTCTACAAGTGAGGGAACAGGTCCAGGAGAGGGTTATTTGATTAAGGTTCTATGGCTAATCAGTCACAGAGACATGACCAGGACACCACTCTAAGACTTTGCATTACTGCACAATTCTCGAAGACAGAGCTTGAAATAAATTCCAGGCTCCATTGCCCAGACCATTTAGATATACCAGAGTTTAAATCAACTCCTCTGAGGAAAAAAGATGATCAGTTTTATGCTTTCGCCTTTACTAGAAAGAGATCCCTAAGTGATTCCAATAAATATGCTCTGGGGAGCCCTTGGGAGGCAGAATCTCGGGGCTCTAGTCAGACCTCTTTCTATTTGGATTCCAAACTTGTGGGCAAGTGAATTCAATCAAGGCATACTAGATGTGGAGCTCTAATATAGTGTTACTGGTTATAGCATGAGTATTATCTATACATTTTATGCTTTTCAGTACATGCACCATTTGAAAGCAAAGGTCAATCTTGGTTCACACTGACCTTGAAGTAAGTGAAGACAGGAAAAGCATGAAGGTCAAAACACAATAGGTATTGTAGCTGTTTAAAAGATAGGTTTAAATATATTATCAACAGTTCAGTTAATTAATAGAAGTAGAAAGTAAAATGGTGGTTACCAGAGGCTGGGGGCCAGGGGAGAATGAAGTAAGGGGAGACGCTGGTCAAAGGGTAAAAGTTTCAGTTAGGCAGGAAGAATAGGTTCTGGCAATCTATTGCATAGCATGGTGACTACAGTTAACGATGTATTGTATATTTCAAAATAGCTAAAAGAGTGGATTTTAAATGTTCTCACCACAAAAAAATGATAAGTATTTGAGGTGATAGATAAGTTAATTAGCCTGATTTGATCATTCTACAATGTATACATGTATAGAAATATCACATTGTACCCCATAAATATACATAACTCTTATTCGTCAAATTTAAAAAAAAAGTTATTATAACAAGTAATTTGAAAAGGTCCATGTCTCAAATAGTATTATTTCGTGTCACAGTTAAATTGCTAAAATGATGACATTCTTTTCACTCTTGGGAAGCTTAACTTATCCATCTTTGACATAGAAACAGTAGATTTTTATACTATATCTTAGAATAAGTGGCACTGCACCATAATGGTATTTGCAATCTATCTGGAAAAACCCTTCTATAAAGATCACGGTAGAATAATAGTGAATGATATTGGTAATTTCATATAAAAATAAAACAAAAAATTGAATGACAGAAAACAGAGACTCAGACAAATATCTGTACATCAATATTCATAATGGCATTATTCACAACAGCCAAAAGGTAGAAAAAATCCAAATATCTATTGACAGATGAATGGCTAAACAAAATGTGTAATACATACAATGGAATATTATTCAGCCTTAAAAGGGAGGAAATTCTGATAAATACTACAGCATGGACGAACCTTGAAAACTTTTTGCTGAGTGAAATAAGCCAGGACAAAAAAACAAATATTGTACGATTCTGCTTATATGAAGTACCTAGAATAGTCACATTTAAATTCATAGAGACAGAAAGTAGAATAGTGGTTGCTAGGAGCTGGAGTGTGGAATGGGGAGGAGTTATTGTTTAGTGGGTACAGAGTTTCCATTTGAGGTGATGAAAAAGTCCTGGAGATGGATAGTGGTGATCTCGCACAAAAATGCGAATGTACTTAATGCCACTACTGAAGTGTATATTTTTAAATGGTTAAAATGGTGACTGTTATGTATATTTTACCACAATAAAAAAATCAAATAAGAAACACTCATGGCAACTTCTTGTATGATTTTGACCCCATATTCCACTCCTCTGCTTAAACAAAATATAAAAAAACCAACCATAAAAATCAGTACCAATCACAGAATTACAGCTTAAAATATGTACACATCATCAAATAAAAACAGACTTTGGTTCATCACCCCAAAGTCATTTATCCTGTGTTTATTACTAAAATAATTCATGTCCATTCTAATTATGAATGATGTATTTACATTAAGCACAAGCTCCAACCAAACATACAGAGAGAAAGGGGGAGAAACTGAAGCAATGGAATTGTCAACAGACTGACATGGCAACCATCTGTTGACATTAATTTTCTTTGAATCCAAGAGACTCAAATCATGTGGTAGGGTAGGGATCTTCATCTTAGTTGTGAAGTCCTACTTTCATGTCACAGGGCACTTCTGGAAGGAAGTTCTGTAATGGCCAGCTCTAAGTACTTGCAGATTTCCTACTAGTCCTACACAGGAAGTCATTCTTGTGTCTCACCTGCATAAGTTCCTGTTATGAGGCCAGGGGACTAGTGAGTTGAAATCTAGTTCCAGAGAATGATGTCATCTTGACTGAACTATGATCCTGGTGACCTGCTCCCCAACCTGGTGTTGTTGCAGCCTTTCAGCTGGGGCTTGGATTATAAGGGGGCCAAAAAGGAAAAAGGGAAATAGAATAATAGAAAAAGGAAAAATGCTTGCACATTTCCTTTGTTTCACTAGAGCATTTTCTGTTCCATTTAATTTGATGAGAGGACCTGGTCGATGGCAGATGGAAGCTGTACAGATGCTCCTGGAGTGGGGGTGGGTTCTCACACAGATCTCAAAAATACAAAGAAGATTAGAACATATCGAAAATTTCAGTTATTTCTGGTGGTTTCTAACTTGGAAATAGTGACTTCTTCTTTGGCTAAAGTTTAAAAAAAAAAAACAGACGTTAACACTTGTAAAACATTTGTAAATTTTTGCAACAATGTATAACTACAGGAGCTACCTTAGCAACAAAAAGAAGTAACAAATACAAATGTTTGGAGATGTGTGAATACTTACATTCTTTCTACAATCATGTCAAATAGATTAGTTCAAATCTGAAAATCTCATCACCAAAGTAACAAACTAGGACTGCCATTCAATTCCATTTAGATGAGATCCTTTGCTTCTTAGTATACCAAGCCAAAAAGTAAAACAAAGTCAAGCATGAGAAGCAATGGTAGAAACTGATAATATTTCACAAGGAAAGGAACGGAGGCATTTCTTTAAGAAAAACAAGGGGGGAGGGTTATTAAATGAAGAAGAGATCTAATGTTTCACCATGTTTATTTGACATCATGATTTCTTAGTCCTTACACAATCTGGGGAAATAAGCACTTCCTTCCCTTTTTTGTTGCATGTGTGTTAGCAGGAGACAGAAGAACAGAATATGAGGGAACAAGCAGAGGGTGCAGAAAATGGAAAGACGGGGAAAGAAAGATGCTGTTGAAGACACAGAGTGTTTATATGAACCCTTCTCTAAATAAGCAGTACCAACCAAGAGTACAAAGCTGACAACATGGAGTGTCTTCCCACAGAAATAATCTGGGACCACATTCAACATACATTAATTATACAGCATCAGGGTACAGGTTTTCCGTCAGAAATTATATGTATATCCTATTTTTCTCACTTTTAAGTTGCGCTGATGACGCTGTTCATGAAGTACTTTTAGTGTATTATTAAGCAAATATTAATTTAATCATATAAACCAATCCTGGTCAGCAAAAAGCTCTGTTAGCTGCCACGTAAAGGTCCTTTCAAGTAAAACTTCATTCCACACTTAACAGCTTCCTATCAGAAGAATTTCTTGAAGGAACTCTTTCGGTTGGCTTTACAACTGATCTGCAACACCGAATGTGGACTAAATTCAGATCACACCTTGGTTGCAGATATGTATATAACAGCCCCTGGTAAAATCAGCTAATATCTTGTAACTGTAAACAAATTGTTCTCTTTCAGTCACTCCCCCCACCCCCCCATTTCCTATAACGGTCTTTATCCAAATGCTTTGGTGCTCCATAAGTGACTGAGGCAGAGGTGCCTCAGTGCTGGAGATGCCTGTCACGGAGGTGCTCAGAATGTGTGAAGCTAACCCTGCATTACATTCATCTCATCAGTTCTGCCCAATCCACAGGGGTAAAGAATGGATGAGATTTGATATCTTCAACACCAGCAACTCCAGCACCAAGTCGTTCCAGAGGATTGAACTGCAAGAGCTAAAAAAAAAAGACAGATTTAGTGAGTAACAGGAATCCAACTGGCAAATCAAAGGAAAACCAGTATTTGAAAGGAAACAACTTCTAAATTCAACCCTGGTAACAAAGTCTTGATTAATACCCAAGTGACCATGTTTTCTTGAAAGGGAGCTATATCTAATACCACTCCAGCTGTGGGGTGTGAGAGACACCTGAACTGAGTTTATGGCTTTTCAACTGATGGGAAACATGGCCTTGAGTAACTTCCTTTGTTTCCCTCATCCTCATAGAGCATAACAGGATAGCTATACCTATCAATTTCCTACCCCAAAAGTACACCATGACATTAATTAGATACTGCACTAGATTCTGAGATAGCCAGTTACTTTCTCCATGATTAGAAATTTGGGAAGCACAGTAAATCTTTCGATCCCTAATGAACTATGTATGTGTTGAGACTAAACTTTACCTAAGAGTGAATATGCTTTTTAGTATTCCAAAATTACTAGTCTTTGGCATAGTTGACACAAAGGAAATAATTTAATCTAATGAATGAAACAAGTTTTGGTTTCTTCAGAAATAGGACACGAGTGTAAAATATGTAAAAAAATTTTGTGGTTTAATAATGTCAAATTTTTGTGTTAACTTTACTGAGGGATAATTTATATAGCGTAAAATTCACCCCTTATAAAGTGTACAATCTGAAGACTTTTAGTAAATTTTGAGTTGTGCAACTAGCACCACAATCCAGTTTTAGAACATTTTGATTACCCTAAAAAGCTTCCTCATGCCATCTATAGTTAATCCCCACTCCCATCCCCAGCCCTCAGCAACCACTGACCTGCCTTTTTTCTCTATAAAGTTGCCCTTTCTGAACACTTCATATAATTGAAATCATAAAATATGTAGTCTTTTGCTGCTGCCTTCTTTCACTCATCATTATGTTTCTGAGATCCATCCACATTGTAGCAAGTATCAACAGTCCGCTCCTTTTTCTTAGTATTCCACTGTTTAGATGTACCACATTTCATTAATCCATTCACTAGTTTTTAGATACTTGGACTTTCCAGTTTGGGGCTATAATGAATAATGCTGCTATTAACATTCATGTACATGTCTTTGTGTAGACATATATTTTCATTTTTCTTGGTTACAGTCCTAGAAGTAGAATTGCTGGGTCACAGAATGAGCTTATGTTTAACTTTTTATAAAATTTCCAAACTTTTCTAAAGTAGTTGTACCATCTTACATTCCCACAAACATTTAAGTTTGAGGATTTCAGTTTCTCTACATCCTCAGCTCTTGGTACTGTCATTTTGATAACAGCCCTTCTCTTGATATTAGTAGTATCTTATTATGGTTTTAATTTATATCCCCTAACAACTAATAATGTTGAGCATCTTTTCATGTGCTCGTTAGCCATTCAAATAGCTTTCTGGGTGAAATATCTAACTTTCCGCCCATTTTAAAACTGAATTGTCTGTCTTACTGAATTACAAGAGTTCTTTATATATTCTGAATATAAGTCCCTTATCAGATAAATGATTTGCAACTATTTTCTCCCAGTCTGTGACTTGTCTTCATTTTCCTTCTTTAAAATTTTTATATTTTTATTATTTCTTCATAGAGGTGGGGTCTCGCTATGTTGTCAAGGCTAGTCGCAAACTTCTGGGCTCAAGAGGTTCTCCTACCATGGCCTCCCAAAGTGCTGGGATTACAGGCATAAGCCACCACACCTGCCCTGTTGTCTTCATTTTCTTAATGGTGACTTTTGAATACACAAGTTTTTAATTTTAAGGAAATCTACTTTATCAACTTTTCCTTTTATGGACCACGCTTTTGGTATCACATCTAATACTTCTTTGCCTAACCCAACACCAAACATTTTCTCTTTTGTTTTCTTCTACAATTGTTATGGCTTTAACTCTTATATACAAATATATGACCTATTTTGAGTTAACTTCTGCAAATAATATGAAGGGTCTAAGTTCATTTTGTTTGTAGCATGTGTATATTCAATTTCCCAGTGCCATTTGTTAGAAAAACACTGTGGTCTTAAAACTATGGTGGCTTTACAGTTAGTGTGGAAATCAGGTAGAGTAAGTCCTCCAACTTTGTTGTCTTGCAAAATTGTTTTGGACATTATAGGTCCTTTGCCTTTTTATGCACAGTTTGGAACCAGCTAAAGGTTTCCCAATTTTGCTGATCTTCGCAAAGAACTACCCTTGTGGTTTTAATTTTTCTCTTATTCTTCTGTTCTCTATCTTACTGATTTCTGCTTCCTTTGGATTTACTTTGTTTTTTACAGCTTCTTTTCATAGTTTCTTTCTTTTTTTAAATGTACAGACAGGGTTTTACCATGTTGCCCAGGCTGGTCTTGAACTCCTGAACTCAAGTGATCCTCACACCTCAGCCTCCCAAGTAGCTGGGACTACAGGAGCACACAACCACATCTAGCTTTGTTTCATTTTTTCTTATGGTGCAAGCTAAGATTTTGATTTGAAACCTTCCTTTTTTTTCCCTGATATAGTCATTTAAAGCCATAAATTTCCCTCAAGAATTGATTTAGCTGCATCCTATACATTTTGATATATTGTGTTTTCCTTTTCGTTCCATTTAAAACTTTTTTTAGTTTTTCTTGATATTTCTTCTTTAACTCATACAAAACTTAGAAGCATACGGTTTAATTTTCAAATATTTGTGGATTTAGCAGATCTCCTCCTATTGTTGATTTCTACTTTGATTGTTATGGTGATTATAATCAGTGTACAATGTAATTCAGAATACATTGTATGAATTCAATCCCTTTAAATGCTAAAACTTGTTTTATGGCCTAGCATGTGATCTTTCTTGGAGATTGTTTTGTGTGTACTTGATAAGAATGTGTGTTCTGCAGTCACTGGGTGAAGTGTTCTATACATGTCAGTTACAGCTTGTTCGAGTCTTCAATGTCCTTGCTAGGTTTCTATAAACCATGGAGAATGGAGTATTGAGCCTCCACTTACTATTGCTAAATTGTCTGCTTTTCCTTTCAATTCAGTTCAATTTTGTTTCCTACATTTTAAGGCCATTATTAGTGCATATACATTTGTAATTGTTACAGCTACCCATGTACTATCACTATGAAACATTTGTCAGTCCCTAGTAAATCTATCTTAATACCCATTTTGTCTGATATTTAATATTGCCACTCCAGCTCTTCTGTGGTTACTGTTGGTATGGTTTTTCCTTTTCCATCCTTTGTCTTTCAATCTGTTCGTGTTTTTTAATTTAAGGTGTGTCTCTCACACACAGAAGATCCAACTTAATGGAATTTGCCTTTGGTTTGGCATGTTTACATATTCACTTTATTGACATGGTGGGTTTATATTTGCTATTTTGGGGCTTGTTTTCTAGATTTACTGTCTTATTTGTTCTTCCTTTACTGCCTTCTTTTGTGTTAAATGCTTTTTGCTGTACCATTTTAGTTTCTCTACTTTCTTTTTTGTTTTTAGGATTTTTTTTTTTTTTTAGTGGTTGCTGTATCCCTACAATATGTATCTTATCACTTAATATATCACTTATAAGATCATTTATCTACTTCAAAACAGTAGTAACTTTAATTTAGCAAAAGGCAGAAACTTTGCTCCACCATAGCCCCCTTCCTTTGTCTATTATCGTCATAAATATTTAGATATTGCTTCTATGTGTGCTAAACCCAATAGCATGGTTTTATAATTGTTGCTACATGCAATTTTATGTCTTTTAAATAATATATATATACATGTATATATACACATGCAATTTTACGACTTTTAAATAAAATATATAAATGCAATTTTGTCTTTTAAATAAATACACACATACAAATGTATATGTATACATACATACATATGTATATATGTGTATGTGTATATATATTTTATTTAAAAGACATAAAATGTATGTATATATGTATGTGTATATATATTTTATTGAAAAGACAAAACTGCATGTATATATATACATGTACATATTTTTTATTTAAAAGACATAAAATTGCATGTAGCAAGAATTACAAAACCATGCTATTGGGTTTAACACATATAGAAACAATATCTAAATATTTATGACAATAATAGACAAAGGAAGGGGGCTATGGTGGAGCAAAGTTTCTACCTTTTGCTAAATTAAAGTTACTATTATTTTGAAGTAAATGATCTTATAAGATAAGTGATGTATTAAAGTGATAAGATGCATATTGTAGCAACCACTAAAATAAAAAAGAAACCCTAAAAACAAAAAAGAAAATTAGTAGAGAAACTAAATGGTACAGCAAAAGCATTTAACACAAAAGAAGGCAGTAAAGGAAGAACAAATAAGACAGTAAATCTAGAACAAGTAGCAAAATAGCAAATATAAACCCACCATATCAATAAAGTGAATATCTAAGCATGCCAAACCAAAGACCGATTCCGTTAAGCTGGATCTTCTGTGTGTGAGAGACACACCTTAAATTAAAAAACACGAACAGATTGAAAGACAAAGGATGGAAAAGGATAAACCATACCAACAGTAACCACAGAAGAGCTGGAGTGGCAATATTAAATGTCAGACAAAATGGGTATTAAGGCAGATCTACTATCTATCTTAATAGTAAGATAGGGACTGACAAATGTTTCATAGTGATAGTACATGAGTAGCTGTAACAATTACAAATGTACATGCACTAATGGCCTCAAAATATAGGAAACAAAATTGAACTGAATTGAAAGGAAAAACAGACAATTTAGTAATAGACAATGTGTATATATATGTGTGTATATATATATTTTATTTAAAAGATAAAATTGCATGTAGGTGTATATATGTATATATTATATATATATATAGTGTCTTTTCTATGAACTCATATCTACAATTTTCAGTGTTCCTCATTTCCTCCTTGGACTTACGTTACTACCTGGCGTCATTTCTTTCCACCCTGAAGGAATTCCTGTGGTATTTCTTGTAAGGCAATTCTGCTAACAATAAACCCTCCCAGTCTTTCTGTATTTGGGAAT